CAACCACACATTCTTCAATAAAATAATATTTTCTATCACATCAATAATTTTTTCTTCTTTTTCAACCACACATTTCCCATCATATTACTGTTCAAAATCAATTCTTCCCCCAAAAATCTCTCCCAAACAAGCTCTTACTTTTTACTGATAGTTTTTGATTTGCAATTGGAGTCATTTCGTTGAAGCTAAAGAAGAGGGAAACTACATTAACTTGGCAGTGTGATTGGGTAGATTAATTAGAGTAGTGTAAGACTTAGGTCTACTTGATCAAGTAAATTGTTTATTTTGGAAGCAGACGCCGAAAATTATCTAATGATCTAATGCTATATCTGTCACGATCTTCTCGGTGTATTTTATGTTGCTAAAATAGTTCAGGAGGAGAAACTATATCCAAATTCTGGATTTTATTAGGCCCAACTCTCTCAGCCCAAAAAAAATGGGCAAACTAAAAAAAAAGGCCCACCTGACCTGAAATAGTCTTCTTCTTCTTCCCGTCTTCTCCTGCAACAGCAACACTTACACTACAACAGTGACCCGGTGGCGTCGGCTGTATTGAAGACTCCGGCGGATCTAGCACTGGCGGCCATGCCCCCTCGCCGGGTGCTAGGTCCGCCCCTGCAGGGCACTCACTATCATCCTGAACGTCTGCCTGCAAGGCCTCACTATCATCCTCGACGTCTGCCTGCAAGGACTCACTATCATCCCCGAACTCTGCCTGCAAGAAGGACTCACTATCATCCTCGACGTCTGCCTGCAAGAAGGTAAATTTTTTGCTGCCAATAAGAAAGTAACAATAAGGAACATAACAACAACAAAATGCCTAAAGTTCTATAACTAACATACCTCAAAAATGTCATTATTTTGAAGAAAACGTTCTAAGACATTCCCTATGACTTGGGAACCATCACCCACGACGTCTGCCTGCAAGAAGGTAAAAAGGTTTGTAAATTTTGATTCTTGTATAACTCCCAAGTCTTCTTTTACAAAAGTACGGAATGAACTTACTGCAAAAGCAACAGAAATGTAGAAAATGCTCCCATGACTTATGATATAAGTGATAGTCCGGAGCACATAATAGGCATACACAGATCCTTTTGATTGATCAATGGCAAGTAAAGCTGGAAATATTATTAAAAAATTTAATTATTTTCCCACATGATTGCCACTGGTATAGCATTGTCGTGTAATTGCTACAGTTATGTCCCCAAAAGGAAATTTGCAAGATTTTCAAGTTGGTATAAATTTCTTTATATAGTAAGAAGTTGTGTCAAAGAAACGTACTGAAAGGTATAATATTCGTAGGTACAATGAGAATAAGCAGCGGTTTAGGCCCATAATCCTCAGCAAGCGGACGTAAGAGTGGAAGTACTAACATCTTGAATATTCCAACAACCTACAAGCACAAATGCAGGACTAAAACTTGATGGGAGAGCATCAATTATGGAGTAGCAAATTTATAGTAAAAATGTTCAGTTAAGGCAAGTAGTTGCACTCAAAATCTGTCTACTTTGTCTGATTTGAGAATTGAGAGAATACTTTATGGATATAGGACAATTCCACTTGTACATTAAGGGATACATCTCTCTCACATGG